TCAGACCGACCAGCCAGATTACGACACCACATTCATCTCATGCATATACCTTTTGCATTATGCGCCAAAGCAGTGTAACTTGTTTTGAGTCCGTGCATCCGAGGGAGCCTATCTTGAAAGCAAATGGCTTCGTCTGCTCCTGGCGCTAACCGTCATTTATTTATATTGCCGGTAAATGACCTGAATGAGCAGCTATTTCTCTCAAAACAACTTCTGAAAAGGCGGTGGATAGTGGGAGCGGAGACGAGTAGCTCAGGGTGAAGTGGTTTGAGGTCAAGCGGTACTTAGTGTATGGTTTCATCCCTCACACTCGTGGATGGCCCACACTGGTAGCGCGTTCTTAATAACCCCGCTTTTGTTGTGCTAGCAGAAAATCTCAGACTTTTTGGAAATTAGCAAGTAAAGTAAACGACCAAACGGGCGACCTCCGAAGAAGTGGCGCACAGTACATAGTACAGGTGTGGTGGATACTAACTGAACGTATACAGGTCGGACCAAAAGGCTTGGTGTGGCTGCTCTTGGCGTGTGGAATAGTAGAAATAGTAAAAAATAGTAGAAGTATTTTAGTAACATCACTAAAAGAGGAATTTTCGAGCGGTTTTGGTATCATGTAAGGACTGAAAGTATACCACCAGTTGAGATGATTCAGCTGAATAATTGCAATTATATTTAGTAAATCACTGGTCACTAAAAGCGATTTTAGGATACGGTTGGTGCTAATTTTTGCTTGGAACCAATAGCGACAGCGCTCCTGGAAAGTGATCCACAGCTAATCTCCCTGTGTTTGGTGTTCATCAATCGCCTTCTGCAGCACGCACCGAATGATGCGGCGCGAATTCGAACTGACCACGAATTGAAAGGTTGCTTTAGATACGCGCTTTTGGCTTTTACATTTCCTATTTACTTCGACATTTGGATCAGCTCTTAGTCTGACTTCGCGTCATCGATGTAGCTAGTTGCTGCATCCTGTACTCACCTCACTGATCATCCTAGTCATCCTACTCTGTCATTTTCATTCCAATCTTTCTGTGTTTTGCACGAAAAGAATTGACTAAATGCGCTATACCGCCTATGCGTCTATTTTTCAAACTTTTTTTCGCTTACTTCCTTGCTATCCAAACTGAATTATTTAAACACACCAGTTGTGCCAAATACGAACCACTTAAGTCCTGAATAGCGACACTTTGTACTTTACGTAATAGCGGCAGTTTTAGGGTTAGCAGAGCTATCATGTATTTTTATAACCTTGAATTTGCGAGAGGTCAGCATGCGTGAAAGTTGCTAATACATTTTTTGTACCTCATAGTGAAGTAGTACCCTCAAAAAAATTTCAGCTTTCTTGCCTGCTTGGCTGCCGAATACGAAGAATGATGGTAGCTTTAATATTTGAACATTTGATGTGCTTACATGCGGAGCATACGTAAGCAAGAGCCCAATTTGCGCTTGCTGCTCAAGCATGAGCGGCAAATACTCTCAATAAAATATTGCTTCCTACTCAGTCTGACTGCCGAGTTGATTAACTTCTAACAATGTCCCATCACTTGAGCGTGCGTGAGGTTTAGCATGCTATGAAAATAAATTTGAAATCGCGCATCGGTATAGAATATATCCTCGTAAAATTTCTGCTTCCTAGCTTGAACAGTTTCGAAAGCTCCTTTCGTTACAAATTTCCCGACGAGTCCGAAAACATGGCGCGAGCGTGTGCGAAAGCTCATTATGCGTTTTTATGCGTTTTTGCATATATGTAAATTGCAAAAACGCATATTGGGAAGAGGCTGT